ATAAGAGCATTTAAGAGCCAGGAGGTATTGCGGGACCTCCATCCCCTTCAACGCATCTACGATGGTAGGCCAACTCAGCGAGTTAAACGCATTTTTAATGTCCAGCGCGACACCAATAACTTTCTCCTTTTTTTCTCTTTTTTCCTTTACGAAGCCCGCAAGGTCCAGTAGCGCGTGGACCGTAGATCTCCCTTTTCTAAAACCAAATTGATTACATGATAAGTTATAATTCTTGTCAATCCATCGGTCAATTCTGCCGGCTATAATTCGCTCAAAGAATTTCCCAGCCTCACTTATTAAACAAATCGGACGAAATTTCTTTTCCTCCGAGTCCGGATTTTTCGGAATTAGGACAACCTTTGTCTCTTTCCATGCCGCTGAGAACTTCAAGCCCTTGAGGGGGTAGGAAGGGATCTCAGCTATTTCCTGTCCCCTCCCAAGGGCCAAAAGTTTTACTATACATTCCGGAATCCCGTCCGGTCCCGGGGCTTTACCTGTTTTTATGTTCCTCGCATGCTCAATAATCTCCTCCTTTTTAATTATCAATTCATCCTTGGTTTCCGTTCTTATCTGTCCCAATGCACCATCAGGAAATTCCGGAATTGCCTCACTCTCTGGGAAGAGATTCTCGATTATCTTCATTCCTTCACCCCAGGCCAAAGGAGGATTCCTTTTTTTAATCAGTTTCTCCCAACATCTAATCTTTTTGATCTTAATCATTTTACTAAGTTCTTTCTTGCTGTACCGAAATTCCGCTAAGGCATCCTCATATTCCTTTTGGTTTCTTTCTTTTCTCTTTTTCTTTTTTGAGAGTCTACGAGCTGCTTTATTGCATTTTAGCCAGAAACCCTTTACCTCCGTATCCCACCAATACGCATGCTCCTTTCTTCTGCCCCTACCCCCATTTTTCCTTCTCAGCCTTCTATCACAGATACGACCAATTAATCCGCTAATTATCCCCTCCATCTGTTCCCAAGGGGTTCCTTCCTCCCATGAAGTCCTAAGTTTTTCACATTCCAAAATAAAATCATTTAAAATAACCTGTTTTTTCTTTTTCAGATCATCCGTTGACCAGCTTGGCATAACCAAAGCAGTCTCTCTCGTTCTACCGGTAAGTAAGGGATCCTCCTTGTCAGTGAGGGTAAAAGCAATATACTTGTGCGCGTTGAGCGTTACCTCGTCCTGTAGTTCCCAATTTCTATAAAATAATTTTAAGAAAAAAAATACGCCGACTTCGAAATGCACTAAAAAGTATAAAATAGTTTCTATTTCCTAATGAAGTAATTTCTATTTCATTCAATCACACAATTACGTAACAGATATGAATGAAATCTATTTACTCGTTAGATAGTATATTAAATACATTTCAACCTTTTCGGA